CAACCCCTGAACTAGATGCACTGATCAGAATGTCATGCAGAGTTCTGATTCCAAATTTCTAGGTAACCGTGGCAAATTAAAGACTGCCACGTACTCTTTGTGGTTCCTGTCATGAGGAGCTGGAGTCTCTTTCTCCACCTGCTGAACCCAGGTGGCTTAGTGATTTCCTTCAGCCAATAAAATGTGATGAGAGTAACATGAGATTTCCAAGCCTAAGCAGCAAGAGGCCTTGCAGCTTCCCCTCAGGTCGTCTTCGAATCCTGCCACCATGTTTAAAAGCCTGAGCTAGCCTCCTTAAGAATAAGAGATCATGTGGGGAGAGAGGTCCACCCCATACTGCAGCTCCAAGCATGTGAGTGAGCCCCGCTGACACCATGGAGCCCAGACCATGCTGCCGAAGCATGCAACAGTGAGCAAGTAAGTGTTACTCTAAGTCATTTGGCTTCGGATGGTTTATTATGTAGGAAAAGTTATTTGACATAGTAAGACTTATTATGGTTTTTAGATTAAATCCTTAGATTTTCCCGTTTTCCTTCATACATCTCCATACTGTGGGAGCAGCAGCCTCAATCTCAATTTATTTATTGACATGTGATGTCCCTGTTACTTCAGTTAAATCACAGTTTAATAACAAAATTTTATGAACATATTGACGTGTGAAGATTTGAGAGTAGTTTGGGAAGTGTTTGAATTAGTTATTGGACAGAGGTTGGCAAGCCGTGGCCTGTGGGCTAGCCACCTAGCTTTGTACATAAGATTTTATCAACACGAGTCACGGAATTCTTTCACAGATTCTCTGTCACTCATCTTCATGCTATGTTGGCAGAATTAAGTAGCAGCAACAAAGGCAATATGGCCCACAGGCCTTAAATATTTACTATCTGGTCTTCTGGAGGAAAAGTTTGCCAGCCCCTGCTGTACAGAATTATTTTGAATGTTATTCTTAAAAGTAAAGAAACATAAGACAGCAATCTAGTATACTTTATCCCTGAAGCCCAAACAATCATTAGAGTGATCTTCGGTCCTTAAGTACCAACTTAGACAGTTTAATAATAAGCCTAATAAGAAGTGAGTAGTTTGATTTCTGACACTCCATATAAACCAATAGAGACGAACGTATTTTCTTTAAATGCTTCTTTGGAGGTGCTACCGTGTTTTGGTGCTGCAGTGCGTTATGTAAATCCATTATTCTGACAGTTCTGCTGGTAAAAGTGAAGCTGGAATTAATATCCATTATTGAAAGGTCATTGCACAGGGACGAGCGAGCAGCCAGTTTTAAAATGTTAATAATGGATACATTTCAAATAGAAACAAAGATCTTACTTTGTTTTATAATTATTTCTCTAAATTTTATTTAAAAGAGAAAATGTTTAAGCAAAAAAAAACTAAACTATATAATGCATTTATATGCTGATAACATCAGTAAATCTACTTACCAGTATTTCTGTAGTTTGTCACATGTCAACAGATATGAACTGAGACAACAGATACTGAACCGAGGTCCTTACTGATATTGCCATACTTTGCTGACTCTAAGATGCCACTGATCAGAAGGAGAATAATTCACAGACCATTAAAAATGCTAATTACAGCGTGTTGCATACTTTATCACTTAGAACTTCACCTTATACTCAATGCAAGTGCTGAGACTCTGATCTATGAGAAAGTTAATTGACATAGTAAGATTCATCATGATTTTTAGATTAAATCCTTGGAGACATATATAGATGTATAGATATAGATAAAATAGGCAATATATGAGAAAAAACCATATCAAACTATATGTGTGTGTATATATGTATGTATTCACACATACACAAAAGGAAAACATAAGTAAAGTTAATTGGTTAAGTTATTCTAAAAAGTTCTCCCACTTTGGAGCCTGATTCTTCTCATTTTTCAACTAAGAATTCTCAGTGCTCACCTTTTTCCACACCCTTTGTTCCATGAGGATTGGTGGATGAGGACGCTGCTACAACATCGTCTGCTGAGGTCCCTGGGTTTTCTTCCAGGGTGCTCACAGCCATCGCGCATGGTTCAACGTGCACGTTCTAGCAGCAATAATTACGTCACGACTCCTACACGGAGAGCAGTGGCTGATGTAGTGATTTCAGAAATTCCACAATATGAGGAAAAATAATGTGTGCCTTAGAATTCAGCCATCTAACAACCTACCGCTACCTCTTGGTGTGGACTGCGGATGAAGTCAGTGTGACAATGACTAATACAATGCGATGACGAAGCACTTAAAGCAGAGAACAATCATTTCTAGTTCTTCACGTACGTTATTATAGCATCAGTATTAGAAATAGCACTGGATGTTTGAAATATGGAATTTAATTCCGTATAAAATGCAATGAATATACAAACCAATGACTGAGACAGAATTGATCAAAAGCAGATTTACAGCCAACTTCATTCAAACCATGTACACTCAATGCCCACACAGTGGCAGGTGACCTGAGACTCGGCATGTGGCCATGCTCCATGAGTCTATATACACTCTGGGTTTACAAACACACATAACATCTTTAACCAACTTCAGAAAAACAAGCTCACACATTTAGCAGCCAGACCTGGGTGCTCATCTTACAGCGTGGACTCAGACTGCTCAAGCCACATGGGCCTCCCCTCTGCTCTGCAATCCTCCAGCTGGGGCTAGGACAGGAGTCTCACCCCAATGTACTCCCGCCTAGAAAGCCCCACACTCTTCCTGGCCCCACCAGATTCACAGTCCGAACACCCTCCTCAGCCTTAAGACCATCTGGAGTCATCACATGTCTCTACTCATGCCGTAGCAAGGAGCTCAGGATTCTCAGGTCACGCCCCCTTCTCCTGCACATCTCTTTCAGATGGTACATCCCAGCACTCCAGCTCCTGACCCCTTCCACTGTGACCTTTGGAGCTCATGGTCAGTTACCAACAAAACCCCTCAGGTTGTCCACCTGTTTTCTGTATGTTTCTCTTACCTTCCCACTCTTATCTGAAACTGCCTCTCTCAGGACTGTGTCTCCTCTGCAGGCCCTTTCAAGTGATGAGTCTTTCTTCTCACATTCTGCATTCATTGCTGGGCTTTGGTGATGTTGCCACATTTCTGTTATTATACTGGGAATTGGCAAACCTTTTCTTAAAATGCAATATAGTAAATATAGCTGACCCTTGAAAAATGCAGGCGTTGAAGATGCCAACTGCCCTCCACACCACCCAGCCAAAAATCCACTTATAACTTTTGACTCTCCCAGAACTTAACTACTAACATCCTATAGCTGACTGGGAACCTTACTGATAACATAATTGATTAACACATTTTGGGGTTGATTTTGCATTTATTACTAACTGTATTCTTCCAACAGAGTAAGCTAGAGAAAAGAAAATATTATCAAGAATACCACAAGGAAGAGAAGATAGATTTACTACTCGCTGAGTATAAGTGGATCATCATAAAGGTCTTCAGTCTCCACGCCTTCCCACCAAGCAGGCGGAGGAGGACGGAGAGGAGGGGCTGGTCTTTCTGTCTCAGGCGGCAGAGCCGACAAGGTGGAAGAGGTGGAAGGGCAAACAGGAGAGGCAGGCACACTCAGGGTAACTTTACAGAAAAACGTCTTAATTTCTGTCTGACTTTTGCTCTTTCATTTCTCTAAAAATGTTTCTAAACAGTACGAATCCTTCTTCCACCATTCGCTTTTGTTTCAGCACCATATAAAAAAATGTCCATGTTATAAAAGAAGTCAAAAGCAGTCTTGAGTACCTGGAACCCGTCTTCCTGTCGGATTGTTTAATGCCAATTTGTTTTCTGACACTGCTGCTTACACACCTTCTTCCTCACCATCTGTCAATAGTTCAGAAGCACCCCTCTCCATCAAGATGCCTGCTTTAAATTCCCCTGCCGTGGTGCCTGTTAGCTCTTGAATTTCTCCAAGATTCATACCTTGAAACCCTTCGCCCCCAACCTTTTTGTTTGTCTGCCAAACCCACAATCTCAATTTCCCTGATTGCTCTGCTGTAAATCCTGTGAAGTCACCACATCTGGACACAGTTTTCTCCAGCAGGAATTTATTGTTTGATGCTTGATTGCTTTTATTTATATTTTTTATTTTTGTTTTTTGAGACAGAGTCTTGCTCTGTCACCAGGCACCAGGCTGAAGTGCAGTGGGGCGACCTCGGCTCACTGCAACCTCTGCCTCCCGGGTTCAAGCGATTCTCCTGCCTCAGCCTCCAGAGTAGCTGGGACTACAGGCGTGTACCACCACGCCCAGGTAATTTTTTTTATTTTAGTAGAGATGGGGTTTCACTATGTTGGCCAGAATGGTCTTAATCTCTCAACCTCGTGATCCGCCTGCCTTGGCCTCCCAATGTGCTGGGATTACAGGCGTGAACCACGCACCCGGCCAGTTGATAGTTTTTATGGCTTTTTCTACAACAGTGGCCTCTTCCATGGTGTAATCCTCTCAGACTTTCATGATATCCTCTCTATCAAGGGTTCTTCCATAGAAGGAACCATTTTCTTTGAAAATCTTTGACATTTTCAAACCCTTTTTATAGAGTACATGTGTAATGAGCCTAAAAAGTCCTTATGAGGCATGATCTAGAGGCTGAATTGGAGACGTTGTGATGGGGGCAAGTAGACCATGCTGACACCTTCTGTGCTGAGCTCACAGGTCCTGGGTAGCAGGAGCATTTCCAATATCAAAAGAACTTTAAAGGCAGTCCCTTAAAGGCAAGGTACTTAGTGATTTCAGATATAAAGCATCAACGGAATCAATCCAGAGAACGTGTTCTCATTGCCCAGGCCTTCTTGTTGTATAACCAAAACACTGGCAGTTAGTGTTTTTTCCCTTCAAGGTTTAGGGGTTAGCAGTTTTATAAATAAGGCAAGTCCTGATTATAAACTTAACAGCATTTGCACAAAACAGTAGAGTTGGTCTGTCCCTTCCTGCCTTAAATTCTAGCGCTCCTCTTCCTTATTAGTAAGTGTCCTTTGTGGCATTTTTTTTTTCCCCAAAATAGGGCATTTTCATCTGCATTAAAAACCTGTTCAGGCAGATATGCCTTCTCATCAATGATTTTCTGAATGGTGCCTGGGAACGCCTCTGCTGCCTCTTGGTCAGCAGAATTTCCTTCTCCTGTTTGTTACACTGACATTTTCAGAGCCAAACCTCTTTCTGAAATTATCACACCGTCCTTTGCTGCCATTAAATTCTCCAGCTTTAGATCCTTCATCTTCCTTTTGCTTTAAGTTGTCATGTAATGACTGCTTTTTCTATAATCGCATTAGAGTCTACAAATATGCCTTTCTTCCAGTAATCTTGCACCAGCGTAAAAGCTGCATCTTCAATGTGAGATTACAGACTAGATCCCAAAAAGTTTTCACGCCTGTCGGTGTGGCCACAGCAGCAGCATCATGAATTTCCTTTCCTTTTCCTCCCACCCCCTACATGCCCCTTACACTGGATTCATTTATCTTGAAATGGCAGGCAACAGCTGCAAACGTCACTCTACAACACACGTCAAAGAATTCAACTTTTTATTATAACGTCTTGACTTTTCGCTGCTTCTTGGGGGCACTTTTAGCATCACTAGTGGCATTTCATATGGGTCCCATGGTGCTATTTAAGGATTACGGTATTACACTAACCACAATGAGAAATATAAGAGAACCCTGACAGATCCTTTTTACCATGATATGCAACTCGCTAGAGACAGTGCTGCTCATGGGAGATGATCAACATCACGAGATATGTTAGATGCGTCTTACAACGCCTCAGCCCAGCACATGTGCAACAGGAGGTAGCTACATTATTATTATAGCAGTAAAGTATGTATCACAGCTAATTTTACGCAGGTATGATTTAACACTGCGTTTTTACATTTGTTTATATTTCTCCCGTAAATGTCCTGTGTGGAATTTATGGAGAAAATGACGCCATATATGGCCTAGAAGCATGTGTATGCATGAGTTTTGATAAAGTTTAACTTTTCATTTTATGTATTTTCTTTTATATATTTAAAAAAGATACGAACTTTAGATTTGTATCTATTTTATGGCAGTCAATGATAACACAGACTAGTATCCACATAGATTTTATGCATTCATGACATATCTTTTTCTTAGTTTTTTTTCAGTATTTCTAGGCTAGGTGGTTTTTCTGTGAGGTTTTACAAATTGTCATAAATCTTCTAAAATTGGTCTGACATATTTACTGAAATAAATCCGCATATAAGTGGACCCGTGCAGCTCGAACCGTGTTGCTCAAGGGAGCAACTGTACTTTCGGCTTTGTGTGCCATGCAATCTTCATCTCAACTATTTAATACTGCCATTATAGCATAAAACCAGCCATAATGAATACTCAAATCAGCGGACATGTCTATGTTCCAAGAAAACTGTATTTGTAAAAGGAAGCAGCTGACAGCAGGCTATAGTTCACTGAATCTCAGATCACTAGCCTGAACCCCCTACTTGCTCTCCCCAAGATGCCATCGTCCTCACACTATGAAATCCCTCCACCTTATTTTCCGAAATTCACTATTACCCCACCCCCAGCACTACTACTGCCACAATTATTTGTGTGGTTTCTACTTCACTCCATAAAACCTAGAATGTGTCTAGGTTTTGTGAAAACTGAAGCACATACATTTGGGGAACAGGGATGGACTATAGGAAGTAAACAAAATTAGGAATGTTAAATTGCCCCTGTATAAACAAGGACCCCTGCCACTTAAGCTTCACTGGCTTCATGGTAAATCCACCTGTGGTCCCTCAGGAACTCTGACTCTAACTACTGAATGCAAAACTTTAGTTGCTACCTCCATCACATTACAGACAATCCTTTCATGCCTGACCTTGCAACTGCCGAAGCTCCCGTCCTCCTCTGGGACTTCTGTCCTCCAACCCATCTGTTATATAATCCCATGCTTTCATGAGCCAGGAGCTACACGCCTCTGTCATCTCAATTTTAGGCATCTGACTCCTCATCCACTATCTCGGCCAGTCAATAGAATCTCTAAGAATCTTAAAATCATTGTTCGACAGTATCCTAACTGTCAGCCAAAGTTGGAGAAGAGACTATTTTGAAGAAGTTTACGGGTAGGATTTTTGTTTAATGGAATAAACAGCAGTAATTTACAGCAAACAAAGTTTTTAATTGAATTGTATCATCAGAAGCACCTCCAGCTTGACAGGGACAATTCTTTTCAGAATGCAAAGAGGTCTCAAGGTCCCCTAAACTTCTACGGACAGGAATCAGGCTGAGAAATCTACTCAACTACAACTATGAGCCATTATTATTAAAAGGAAGAAGGTTCAGAGAGCGTAAAGAAGAGCCACAGAGAAGCATCCCCAAGGAGCAGAACTTTGCCTGAAGTAAATCATATTTCTCCCGTAGAACAAAGAGAACTTGCCATCAAGTTTCCAACACTGCCATGGATCAGTGACTGTCAGGTGCCATGTGTGTCTGTGGTGGTGTTTCTTTCTGTGTCTCATCACTGTAGTCGGGGAATGGGAAGGAGCGATGGTCTGTGTCCTTGGTTCACAGGTCATCAAAACTGAAAGGAACAATATTTAAGGAGCTGCACCTGAGGATAGGTACCCAAGGAGCCTCATGTATATCTAGATTTAATTTGGATGGCAAGAACCTTGGTTAGGAAACCCAAAACTAATCCCGTAAGATGAGATCTGGGGGTGTTAGAACAATGTTGTACTGTGTGTGGAAAAGCCAGAATCATTAGGGGATGGGGAATACATTGCAGTATCTGATCTCCAAATACAGTCCTCTGGGTTATTTTCTTGCATTTAATGAACTATCCCTGTTTGTAGTCACATTCTCTGTGGGATGTTTGTGATTACTAATCCAATCTCTTTGTTATAAGTTTATTCATTTTTTCTATTTCTTCTTCAGTCAGTTTTAACAGTTTGTCTTTCTAGAAATTCCACCTAAGCTATCTAATTTATTGGCATACATTTTTCCATAGTATGCCCTTATAATCCTTTTTATTTCTGTGAGGTCAAAAGTGATGACCTGTTTTCATATTAGCTCTTTTTTTCTGTCAAGTTCAAATCTACCATTGACCTTCTTTAGTAAACTGTTCACTTCAGTTATTCTATTGTTCAACTTCAGAATTTCCGTTTGATTCATTTTGATAATTTCTGCCTCTCATTGATATTCTCTACTTGGTGTGACACCATTTTCACACTTTCCTTTCAGACATGGTTTCCTGCAGTTCTTTGCAGATACTTATAATAGTTGATTTAAAATCTGTCTAGTAAATCCCACACACTGGTCCTCTCAGAAACAGTTTCTTTGCCTTGCTTTATTTCCTGTGTATATGCCATATTTTCCTAGTTTTGCTTTTTGGCATGCTTTGTGATTTTGTTGTTGAGAACTGAACACCTTGGATGATATAATGCGTCAACACTGGATATCCGACCCTCCCACTGAGGATATTTGTTACTGCTGTTTTATTCTTGTCTGTTCAAAGACACTTTTGTGCTAATACTGTAAAGTCTATATTCCTGTAGCGTCTGGCCACAGAAGGGTCTGTTCATTTAGCTCAGTGGCCAGCTAACGACTGGCCAGACATTTCCTTAAATGCCTTAAATCAGTAAGTCTTTCACCCTTTGCCAAAGAGCTGTGTATATGTGTTGCAGCACACCTCCAACATTTAGGCAATTTACAATTCTGCACAGGGCCTCAACATTGGCCAGAAGAGAGAGACGGGGTCCTCTTCAGGTCTTTCTTGGTCATATGTACAGCCCTATGCATGAACATAGGCTTCTATATTCCCCAGGAATACATTAAGTGTTTTGCAAAGTCTCCAGTGGATATTTCATTCCCTACAACTTCCTTTTAAGTTTCTTGACAAACTCTTCTTTGCACCAGATGGTCTCTCAACTTCAAGCTATGATGTTTAAAAATCGTCAATGATTGTTTGCTATCAATGCCAGTAGTATTGACTTTTCCCCTCAGATGAGCTCCAGCTCAGGGCAAATAGTGACAATGACTTATGAGTAGGGTTTTTCCAGGGAGGTATGAGACAGGTCAAATTGTGGCAATGTTCTGGGAGTGACATTTTTGTGGGGAGGGATCCAAATCCAAGTGGCCCATTCCAGAAGCTTCAATTCTGCTAGTTTTCACAGTGAAAGTGTTTACGAAGTTGCTAATTTTCAAGGCTACATGTGGTATGAAAGAGACAATGGGGTCAGATTAAGTCACACTGGCACTGCCTCACTGTTCTTACCAAGACTCATCCGTTTTCCTTGTTTTGTTGCAATCCGGTGATAACTTGGTAATTGACAGAATTCTGAATATTAAATTTCACAATTTACCCAGTACTGGCTTTATTGTGGGACAGATTATGGAGGTTCTCAATCCACCTTTCTGGAAGCCCACCTAATCCATTTTATTTTAAGTAATTACAGAGTAACCAAAAAAAGGTATTCTTTCATATTTAACCACATTTGCATTCTCTCTTGTGTACGTCATTTCTTACTCTAAATTTGAGTTTGCGTTTTCATCTGGTATTCCTTTGCTTTAGCCTGAAAAACTTAATTTAGCATTTCATGTAAAGCAGGTCTGCAGCTGATAAATTTTCTTAGCTGTCATTTATGTGAAACGTCCTTATTTCAACCTCATTTTAAAATATATTTTCTGGAGATATAAAAATACAGACTGGCAACTTTTTTTTTTTTTTGAGACGGAGTTTCACTCATGTTACCCAGGCTGGAGTGCAATGGTGCGATCTCGGCTCACCGCAACCTCTGCCTCCTGGGTTCAGGCAATTCTCCTGCCTCAGCCTCCTGAGTAGCTGGGATTACAGGCACGCACCACCATGCCCAGCTAATTTTTTGTATTTTTAGTAGAGACGGGGTTTCACCATGTTGACCAGGATGGTCTCCATCTCTTGACCTCGTGATCCATCTGCCTCAGCCTCCCAAAGTGCTGGGATTACAGGCTTGAGCCACCGCGCCCGGCCCAGACTGGCAACTTTTAAAATGGTTTTCTGCTTTTCTGGCCTCCGCTATTTCTGACCAGAGGTCAGCCACCATTTGTATTGTTCATTACACTTTACATAATATATAATTTTTCTGTAAATATTTTCAAGATTTTTATCTCCAATTTTTAGGAGTTTGACTATCTTGTGCTTAGATGAATTTTGTTTATTTGCTTTTTAATCTTCCAAGGGTGTTCTGACATTTCTAAATCTGTAGACAAACATGCTTTACCAAATTTGGGGATATCTTGGCCACTACTTCTTTAAATTCTTTTTTCTGCCCCATTCTCTCTCTTCTGTTTCTGGGATTCCAAGTATACATATATTAGAATCCCTGAAATTGTCCCATAGGCCAGAGATGCTTTTTCATTTCTTTAATCTTTTTTTTCCTCTGCCCTTCACATGGAAAAATTTATATTAATCTTCTATGGTTTTTAATTTGCCGAAAAGCTCAGCCGGGGATTTTTTTTGTTTTAAATATTGAACTTTTTAGTTTGAGACTTCTATGTGGTTCTTCTTTATAGATTCATTACTCTGATGAGATTTTCTACCTCTTCACATACAATGTTTACTTTTTGGCTTTGAATATATTTGTGTAGTTGTTTCAAATTTCTGGCCTGTTAATTCCAACATCTGGGTAATCTTGGGTTTTGTTTCAGCTGATATTTTATTATGAGTAATATTCTTCAAATTCTTTCTGTATTACCTCAGTTTTGGTTTCTCCTAGCCACTGTGAATAATATGCTGTGGGGAATCTGGATTATGTCACCTGCTTCTTAGTGGTGACTTTTGTTCTGGTAGGCAGTCAAATGCCTAGTGGTTTGTTTGACCCCAAAATGCTTAGTTTTATTCTGTTAGGACAGATTTATATTGATTTAATCCTTAGACGAAGGACTTAGCCCTGACTTTAGGACGTGACCCATATTCTAAAGCAGGTCTATAGCGGCCCTTAATGTCGGGCTAGTTTTACGCACACTCAGGTGCACAGCAAGGACTGCTACTGTGGTGCGGCTGGAGTTCCAACGTCTTTCATCACTGCCCATCATGCCAGTTCAGCTCTCAGCCTTCCAACTCTACCTCTGCAAGGCCTGACATGATCTTGCTCTGTGCAGGTACAGCCCAGCCTTCACCAAAAACCTGTGGAAAACTCCGTAGGTTTCTGGGCTCCGTTCCTCTATGAAACTCAATCCTCCCTTAGGCCCTGCCCTGTGAATCCCCACTAGCGCACATCCCTAACCACTGCTCTCCTCCTTCCCAGCTCAACAAGGCCTCTGTTTCTACCTGGACTCTACTTACCGCCCTGGGCCAAAAAAAAGAAAGGCCAGAGTGAACACAACGTTCACCTCATGTGTTTCACTTCTCCCAAGGACCACAGCCCTATTCTGTCTATGTTAAAAGATGTTTTCCTGCTTTTCTGGCCTCTGTTGATTTTGACAAGAGGTCAGCTATCATTTGTATTGCGTGCCCTCCTCGATGTCATTACCAGTTTCTCTATGAATACTTTCAAGACTTTATTTTCCATTTTCAGGTTGCGTGAAAACAGTTGCTTCACATGCTCTGTTGAGTTTTACTGTCACTAACAGTGGAAGGCCTGCCTCTACCAGTCCCTGTCATGAGAGAAAGCCAATATGCATCTTTTCAGGAGCACATTATAAATCGTGAAAATTGAATAGAGAAGGCTCAAGGTAATTTCAATACATTTTAAAAAGTAGAAATGATACTCCCAACATTTGCTGATCATAGTGCAGTAAAACTACAACTGTCTGGGAGGCTTTCAGGGTGGCTGACTAGAGGCACACACACGTTTCCACGAGGAAGGACCAAAACAGCAAGGAGATAATCATGTGTTTCGTAGAGCATTTAAGAGAGAACCCCGGGATTCAGCAGGGAAGGGACAGAGAACATCCGAGGCACAGAGAGAGAGAGCAGTGAGGCAGCCACTGCTGCCGAGGCAGGATCAGCTCGGAGTCCGGAGAGGCTCCCCAGTGTAGGGACAGTAGTCCACACTCCCACTGGGGACCCTTAAAGCCCTAGCCGTGGGAGAGCCACTCTTCTCTTACAGGCCCTGAGACTAGCAGAGTGAGCTGCCTGGAGTCTGGGCAATGGCACTGCTCAAGACAGGGAATTCACACTGGGTCCCAACATTCCCCTAAGACCCAAGCAGCTGCAGAATGGCATTTTGAGCACCCAGCTCCCACCAGACCGCATTTTGCCATGGGGCCCAACATCCCCTAAATCTCTACATCCCTGGAGACCTGCTGACATCCCTCAGTATCCACCCAGAGGGTTGCAGCAATGCAATGCCAGCTGGAACCACGATGTGGCCAGGTTCCAGCACTCTAGCCCATGCAGTGTCCCACACCATGAAAACAAGCTGGGGAGGCTGCTCCTGGGACAAACGGAGCTGAAACATGCACTCCCCAGAGTCTGAGAGTTGCCTCCCTGCCGCCTGGGGATGCTGCCACCAACAGCAACCCTGCACCCGCCCTACCCCACAGTCAGAGGGCTGCCATGTATGTGCAGGTGTCTTCAGTGGGCCTGGACCAGCCCTCTAGGATACCACCCCAGGGCTTGAGAATAGGCTCATCTTGCCCACTGCTGCTGCCACTGAGCACACCACACAGGAACCTGCTCCACCCACCATAGCCTGTGCCCATGTGCACCATTAGAAAGTCTGAGGAAAGGCCTGCTTCACCTGGAGTCACCCCTCTAGGTGTCTAAGCATACCTCCCAAGGGCTGGGGTTCATCTCAACATGTCTGTTGCCCCAGGCACACATACGCACCATGAGGCCTGACATGGGACCCAGCCCACCCCAACCCCCACTGCCCCTGAATACTGCCTGGGGGTCTGGTGACTAGCCCACTCCACCTATCACCCTGAACAAGCACATAAATCATCAGAAACCCTGACAAAAGACAAATCCTACCTGCCACCAGCAGCCAAGCACACTGTTTCAGGACCTGGGGATTCTCCTGCTCTATCCACCCATACATGCTACCTTGGGGCCTGGAGACTGGCATGCTCAGAACATCATTACCACTGCTAGCATCAGCATATGCCACGTGGGAGCTGAACAGTGGCTGGCATCTCCATCCCCCAGCAAAATGTAACCAATGCCTCCATTAACTACCACATCCTAAGCCACAGAGGAAATCACAGGTACCACTGATGCCGACTGCAGTCAAATAAATCATACAGAAACTATACTACTGCACAAGCCCAAAATCAAAGCTGAAGTGCCCTACTCAACCAACACTACATATACATCTACAGGAAAAGGTCTCGCCCTAAGAAACCTAATCTGAAAAACAGGAAGAAGTGCCAGTTACACAAGATGCATAGACATCGACGTAAGGACACAAGAAAAATGAAAAGGCAAAAAAAAAAAAAAACAATGACACAACCAAAGGAAGAAAATAATTATCTAGTAATAGATTCCAACAAAAAAGAATTCAAAGATATTTGTAAAAAAGTCAAAGTCATGACATTAAAGAGGCTCAGTGAAACGTAAGAGAATACAGATGAACAAAACAAAGGAATCAGAAACATAACTCATCATCTCAATGAGAATTTCAACAAAGAGACAGCTATCACTAAGGAGGATCAAATGGAAAATCTGGAACTGAAGAATTAAATGAATGGAATAAAAATTCAAGAACTTCGATAACAGACTATATAAAGCAGAAGACAGAATTTTAGAAATTGAGGAAGGGTCTTTGAAATAATCCAGTCAGATAAAAATAAAAAATGAAAAAAGCTTCTATAATATATCAGACACCATAAAGAGAGCAAATATTCAAATTCTGGGTGTTCCAGAAGTAGAAGAGATAGAAAACAGCATAGAAAAACTATGTGATAAAATAATAGCTAAAAAATTCCTAAGTTTTGCAAGCTCTTTAGACTACAGAAACAGAAACCTCAAATATTCCAACACAAATACAACTCAAAAAGGTCTTCTCCAAAGCACATTCTAGTCAAACGGTCAAAAATCAGAGTAAAAGAGAGAATTCTATAACAGTAATTTTTTTAAAAAGTGTCAAACTACATATAAGGAAATGATCATCAGCCTAACTGGATTTCTCAGCAGAAGCTCTACAAGTCAGAAGACAATTGGATGATATATTTGAAGTGCTAAAAGAAAAAGAAAACAGCAGCAAAAACCTGTGAGCCAAGAATACTATGTCCAGCAAATCTATCCTTCAAAATGTAAGATAAATAAAATCTTTAGCAGACAAATAAAAACTAACAAAGCTCATCCCCATTAGGCCAGACCCACAAAAAAAAAATGCTTAAAGGAATCCTACATATGGAAGGGGGAAAAGACAATATTTATCATCACAAAAGTATAAAACTTGCTGGTAGAACAGATACAAAAATTAGATGGAGAAAAAACTCAAATGTGAGCAAAACATAAAGACTAAGTAGCTATTGTTTAACTACAATAAAAAATAAAAGAGAAAGAAACAAAAGATATGCAAAACAACCAGAAGATAAATAACAAAATGACTGAAGTAAGTCCCTACCTATCAGTAATAACCTTGAATGTAAATGAATTGAACTATCCACTTAAAAGGTATAGACTAGCAGGATGAATTTTAAAAACCATGAACCATCTTGCTGCCTACAAGAAATGTATTTCACCTCTAAACATACATATAAACTAAAGGTATGGAAAAAGACATGCCACGTGAACAAAACCCAAAAACAAGCAAAAGTAACTACATTTATATAAGCTAAAATAGAACTCAAGTCAAAAACACTAAAAACAAAGTCATTACATAATAATAAAGGGATCAATTCAGCAAGAGAATATAACAATTTAAAATATATATGTACCCAATGCCACAGAACCCATATACATAAAGTAAATATTAGAGCTAAGGGGAGAGATATTAATAGATGTTAATACAACAGTTTGGGATTTTGACATACCACTCTCATTATTAGACAGATAATACAGACAGAAAAATCTTCAACAAAACATTGGATTTAAACTCTACTTTCGATCAAATGGACCTAACATACATTTGCAGAACATTTCATTCAACAACGGAAGAATATGTATCCTTCTTGTCAGCACATAAAACCTTCTCCAAGATAGACAATGTTAGGCCACAAAATGAGTCTCAACAAATTTTTAAAAATGAAAATCATACGAAGTATCTTATCAAAACATAATGGAATAAAACTAGAAATCAATACCAAAAAGAACATTGGAAACTATGCAAATACATGGAAATCAATATGCTCCTGAATAACCACTGGGTCAGTGAAGAAATCAGAAAACAAAACACAAAGAAAAAGTCACTGAAACAAATGAAAACTGAAATAAAACATATCAAAACGTATGAAACACAACAAAAGCAGTGCCAAGAGGGAAGTTTACAGCAATAACACATCTACATTAAAAAGTGGAAAGATTTCATGTAAACAATCTAACAACATACCTAAAGAAACTACAAAAGCAAACCAAAACCAAAATTAGTAGAAGGAAATAATAAAGGTCAGATTAGATCTAAAAAGAAAAAAAGAGACAAAAATGTATAAAGGATCAACAAAAATGAAGTTTGTCTTTTGAAAAAACCACTAGCAACACTACAAGAAAAAAAAGAAAAAGATCCAAATAAACAAAATCAGAAATGGAAAAGGAGACATTACAACTGTTACTATAGAACTACAGAAGATCATCAGAGACGATTATGAGCAGCTATACACTAACAACCTGGAAAACCTAGAGAAAATAGACAAATTCCTAGACATATGCAACTACCAAGATTGAATCAGAAAAAATAGACCAACGATGAGTAATGAGTTGAACCAGTAATAATAATAAATCTTACAGCAAAGAAAAGTCCAGGACCAGATCACTTCACTGCCCACTTCTACGAAACGTTCACAAAAGAATTAACACCAATTCTCCACCAACTATAGAAAAAAAGTGAAAAGAAGATAATTCTCTCTAACTTATTCTACAAGGCCAGCATTACCCTGATACCAAATCCAGATAAGAATACAACTACTACAAAAAAGCCCTACAGGCCAATAGCCCTGATGAACATAGACACTAAAATCTTCAACAAAACACTAGCAAACAGAATCCAACAGAACATGAAAAAGATAACACACTGTGACCAAGTGGGATTTATTCCAGGGAAGCAAGGGTGGTTCAACATATGCAAATCAATCAATGTGATAAATCATCTCACAGAATGAAGGATAAAAACCACGTGATCATCTCAAAATATGCAGAAAAGGTATTTAACACAGTTCAGTATGTCTTCATAATAAAAACTCTCAACAAACTAGGCACTGAAGGAATATACCTCAATATATAATTATAAAGGCCAAATATGATAAACCAACAGCTAACATCATGCTGTATGGTGGAAAGCTGAAAGCCTTTCCTTCAAGAACTGGAACAACTCCTATTCAACATATTATTGGAAATCCTAGACAGAGTAATCAGGGCAGAGAAACAAACAAAAAGGCAGGCCAACATTCAAATACAGGAAATGCAGAGAACATCACAAAGACATTCCTCAAGAGAGCAACCCCAAAGCACATAATCGTCAGATTAACCACAGTTGAAATGAAGGAAAAAATGCTAAGGGCAGCCAGAGAGAAAGGATGGGTTACCCACAAAAGGAAGCCCATCAGACTAATGGCAGATCTCTCAGCAGAAACCCTACAAGCAAGGAGGAGAGAGTCGGGGCCAGTATTCAACATCATAAAAGAAAATAATTTTCAACCCAGAATTTCACATCCAGCCAAACTAAGCTTCGTAAGCAAAGGAGAAATAAAATCCTTTATGGAAAAGCAACTGCTGAGAGATTTTGTCACCACCAGGCCTGCCTTACAAGAGCTCCTGAAGGAAGCACTAAACATGGAAAGGAACAACCAGTACCAGCCACTGCAAAAATGTACCAAATGGTAAAGACCATCGACACTATGAAGAAACTGTATCAACTAACAGGCAAAACAACCAGTTAGCATCAAAATGGCAGGTTCAAATTCACACATAACAATATTAACCCTAAATGTAAATGGGCTAAATGCCCCAATCAAAAGACAAAGACTGGCAAATTGGATAAAACATCAAGACCCATCAGTGTGCTGTATTCAGGAAACCCATTTCACATGCAAAGACACACATAGGGTCAAAATAAAGGAATGGAGGAAGATTTACCAAGCAAATGGAGAGCAAAAACAACAGGGGTTGCAATCCTAGTTTCTGATGAAACCAACATTAAACCAACAAACATCAAATGACAAAGTAGGTCATTACATAATGGTAAAGGGATCAATCGAACAAGAAGAGCTAACTATTCTAAATATATATACACTCAATACAGGAGCACCCAGATACATAAAGCCAGTTCTTAATGACTTACAAAGAGAATTAGACTCCCACACAATAGCGGGAGACTTTAACATCCAACTGTCAATATTAGACAGATCAATGAGACAGAAAATTAACAAGGATATCCAGGACTTGAACTCAGATCTGGACCAAACTGACCTAATAGACAGACATCTAAATAACCCTCCATGCCAAATCCACAGAATATACATTCTTCTCAGCACCACATCGCACTTATTCTAAAATTGACCACAAAATTAGAAGTAAAACACCACAGCAAATGCAAAAGAATGCAAATCATAACAAACAGTCTCTTATACTACAGTGCAATCAAATTAGAACTCCGGATAAAGAAACTCACTCACAACTGCACAACTACATGGAAGCTGAACAACTGGCTCTTGAATGTCGACTGAATAATGAAATGAAGGCAGAAATAAAGATATTGTTCGAAACCAGTGAGAATGAAGACACAACGTACCAGTATCTCTGGGGCACATTTAAAGCAGTGTCTAGAGGGAAATTTATAGCAATAAATGCCCACCAGAGAAGTGAGGAATGCTATAAAATCAACACCTTAACATCACAATTAAAAGATCTAGAGGAACAAGATCAAACAAATTCAAAAGCTAGCAGACGGCAAGACATAACTAAGATCAAAACAGAACTGAAGAAGACAGAGACACAAAAAACCCTTCAACAAAATTAATAAATCCAGGAACTGGTTTTTTGAAAAGATCAACAAGATAGACCACTAGCAAGACTAATAAAAAAGAAAAAGAATCGAGTAGATGCAATAAAAAATAAAGGGGCTATCACCACCAATTCCACAGAAATACAAACTACCAGCAGAGATTACTACAAACAGCTCTATGCATATAAACCAGTAAATCTAGAAGAAATGGATAAATTCCTGGACACTTACACCATCCCAAGACTAAGCCAGGAAGAAGTTGAATCCCTGAATAGACCAATAACAAGTTCTGAAGTTGAGGTGGCAATTAATAGCCTACCAACCAAGTAAAGTCCAGGACCAGATGGGTTCACAGCTGAATTTTCCCAGAAGTACACAGAAGAGCTGGAACCATTCCTTCTGTAACTATTCCAAACAATACAAAAAAGAGGGAATCCTCCATAACTCATTTTATGAGACCAACATCATCGTGATACCAAAACCTGGCAGAGACACAACTAAAAAAGAAAATTTCAGGACAACAGCCCTGATGAACACTGACACAAAAATCTTCAACAAAATACTGGCAAACCGAATCCAACAGTACATCAAAAAGCTCATCCATCACAATCGAGTAGGCTTCATCCCAGGGATGCAAGGCTGGTTCAACATATGCAAGTCTATAAATGTAATTTACCACATAAACAGAACCAAAGACAAAAATCATATGATTATCTCAATAGATGCAAAGAAGGCCTTCAACGAAATCCAACAGCTCTTTACGCTAAAAATTCTCAATAAACTAGGTATTGATGGAACGTATCTCAAAATAATAAAAGCTATTTACGACAAACCCACAGCCAATATCATACTGAATAGGCAAAAACTGGAATCATTCCCTTTGAAAACTGACACAAGACAAAAGTGACCTCTCTCATCACTCCTATTCAATATAGTATTGGAAGTTCTGGCCAGAGCAATCAGGCAAGAAAAAGAAATAGAGGGCACTCAACTAGAGAAAGAGGATGTCAAATTGTCTCTATTTGCAGACGACATGATTGTATATTTAGAAAACTCCATCATCTCAGCCCAAAACCTCCTTAAGCAGATAAGCAACTTCAGCAAAGTCTCAGGATACAAAATAAATGTCCAAAACTCAAAAGCATTCCTATTCACCAATAACAGACAAGCAGAGAGCCAAATCATGAGTGAGCTCCCATGGAAAAATTTTTAAGTTTCATTATTCCTATAGAGAAAAGCATCACAGAGCTATCATTGATATCGTACTGCAAAAAGAGAGCACCAGTCAGATGATTTCACAAAGAAATTCTACTGAGCTTTTAATGAGTAGATAATTTCAAGAATATATGAACTTTCCAGAAATACAGAAAGAGGAAAAAAAATTTTTTAATAAGGCAATATAGCACTAATATTAAAATCTGGGCAAAGAATGTGTTTCTTCCATCAAAAATGAACAAACAAAATCACAGACCAATCATACCAATCAATGGCACACTATGGTGTTCCGCCATGATAAAACTGCCTAACAATGCATTTCTCAGAACACATGGCTGTAGTTATCTAGAATTGTCACAGTACAGACATGCATAAGATATAAAGTAAACTACTGTCACCTCATCCAGTTTCATTTTCCAAGGTGCTTTTGGTCATATCTGTTCTTATTTTGATTGGCAGTCTCATGGGGTTCAAATATTTGTTCCCTCCAAAACTCATGCAGACCCTTAACCCCCGTTAAAATGACATTAAGAGGATGGGAAACCCAACTATGGTATTAGAGGTGAGAACTCTGAGCAGCAGTTAGGATTAGAGGAGGTCACTAGGAGGGGACATCAGTCACTGCATAAGAGGAGGAAGAAAACCCTGAGCCAGCGAGCTCAGCCCCTCACCATGTGATGCCCTGCCCCACCTTTGGACTCTGCAGAGTCTCCAACAGCAAGATGGCCCTTGCCAGATGCAGCCCCTCAATCTTGGGCTTCCCAGCATCTAGAACTGTACAAAAGAGATTTCTTTTCCTTTCAAATTACTCAGTCTCAGGTATTCAGTTACAGCAACAGAAAACAGATGAAGACAGAGACCAATCAGTCTAAATACTGTGATTACACTTCTGTTTCTTGGTTTGTCATCTTTAAGCAATGCCTACTGACTTTATGCCATTAAAGAGAATAAATTAACCTAGA